AGCCGAGGGTGCCCGGGGCACCCCAGGGAGTGCAGCAGGCAGGAGGGGAGCCGAGGGTGCCCGGGGCACCCCAGGGAGTGCAGCAGGCAGGAGGGGAGCCGAGGGTGCCCGGGGCACCCCAGGGAGTGCAGCAGGCAGGAGGGGAGCCGAGGGTGCCCGGGGCACCCCAGGGAGTGCAGCAGGCAGGAGGGGAGCCGAGGGTGCCCGGGGCACCCCAGGGAGTGCAGCAGGCAGGAGGGGAGCCGAGGGTGCCCAGGGCACCCCAGGGAGTGCAGCGGACAGGAGGGGAGCCGAGGGTGCCCGGGGCACCCCAGGGAGTGCAGCAGGCAGGAGGGGAGCCGAGGGTGCCCGGGGCACCCCAGGGAGTGCAGCAGGCAGGAGGGGAGCCGAGGGTGCCCGGGGCACCCCAGGGAGTGCAGCAGGCAGGAGGGGAGCCGAGGGTGCCCGGGGCACCCCAGGGAGTGCAGCAGGCAGGAGGGGAGCCGAGGGTGCCCGGGGCACCCCAGGGAGTGCAGCAGGCAGGAGGGGAGCCGAGGGCGCCCGGGGCACCCCAGGGAGAGCAGCAGGCAGGGGGGCAGCCGGGGGTGCCCGGGGCACCCCAGGGTACGCAGCAGGCAGGGGGGGGATCGATGGACGACCGGGAACAGCAGTTGGAGGAGTGGTGCCGACTTTTGGAGTTTGATACCCCCATGGCGACTGCGGAGGAGTCAGAGGCGGACGGAGAACCACCCAGTCCGCCTTCCCCATGCCCCCGTTTCCCGTGTGACACGTGTTTCCACACGTTCGCCACGAGAGGGGCCGCTGCGAACCACATGAGGGTATGCCGGGCGGCTGAGGCGGAGAGACGCGCGCAGGCACTTGGCTCGATCCCGTCTCTGGTGGAGACCGACACACAGGAGCGACCGACGCCGCGGGAATTTGGGGACGAGGCGTGGGCAGGGGTTAAGTCATGGGAGTGGGAGGCATTTTTCTGTGTGGAGGCGGTTGGAGGGAGGACAGTGCGCCGGATCCCGCAGCGGGCCCGGTCCGGGGTCTTAGACGCACTCTGTTGCATCTTGAAGCGGCTGAAGAGCCGACCGGGAGATGAAGCTGCTACCCTCCTACTCCTGGCGTTTCCGCGCCTCATCCTAGCCGTGCCTCCCAAGCCAGGCATAGGTCAGAAGGCGCTGATCATAGAGCGGCTGGGGGCCTTCTGGGAGGGGAGGTGGCGGGAGTTGTTCGACGCTGCCATGGCGGCGGCACGGCCAGCAGTTCGCCCACTTGCCTACACGTGCTCTGACCAGGACCCGGAGGCCATCCGCCTGTCACGGTGCCGATCTCGGTGTAAAGTGGGAGAGTGGAGCCGTGGTTTGTCTTGCCTCACAGCAGGAGAGTTGGCTCGACCGTCTGAGGCTATGGTGCAGTCGCTGCGAGGGAAGCACCCAGCTAGCAGTGGCGAGGTACCACCGTGGGTTCGTGAGTTTACTGTCGACGCTCCTCAGCGGCCTCCACTCACGACCGACATTCTGGCTAGAGCTATCCACACAGCTGCTCGCGCCTCAGCTGCAGGGCCATCGGGATGGGTCACAGAGCATCTGCGCGACACTTTCCTCACGGAACCTTCCTGCCTCTCCCACCTGCTGGAAGTGTTCAACCAATGGGTGGCGGGACAGGTCCCCGAGCGAGCTCGGCCCTGGCTCGCCGCATCCAACCTAGTCGGGCTTTCCAAACCCAACGGTGACGTCCGGCCGGTGGCGATCGGGGAGGTGCTTCCGCGTATCCTCGCTCGAGCTCTCTGCATCTCGCTTCGCCCTGTGATGGCTTCTTATTTTCTGCCGTGTAACCAGCTGGGAGTGGGCACCAGGGCCGGGGTGGAGATTCTTACTCATTCTTTCCGGTCAGCGCTGGCCACTCACCCCGACTGGTGTGCGCTGCAGATAGATGTCGCGAACGCCTTCAATTCGTTTCATCGCCACGCGATGTTCGAGGGGCTGAAGGAGTCGCCTTTCTCAGGAATGATCCCATTCTTGCGTGTCTTCTATGGGACACCTAGCGACCTGTACCTCCGAGCGGGCCCTTTCGTACAGAGTCTTGAGTCGGCACGAGGATCGCGACAGGGGGACCCGCTCGGCCCTTTTCTTTTCGCTTTCACGCAGCAGCAGGTGCTGGGGACGGTGACTAGAGAGTTCAGGGACCTACTTTTCTTGAGCTATGCAGACGATACCTACATCCTGGGACCAGCGGCTAGGATTCTGGAGGCTTTTGGGGTGCTGCGAGAGAGGTTGGAGTGGGTGGGGCTGGAAGTGCAGGCGCACAAGTGCAGGTTTTGGGAGCGTGGAGGTGGGGATATGGAGCGGGCATTGCCTTTGGGGATGCAGCGGGAGGAGGAGGGTCTTATTGTGGTGGGCGTGCCTATTGGGGAGGAGGATTGGGAGGGGGCCCGATTACGGAAGCGGCTTCGCGAGTTGCAGGCGCCATTGCCGTGGCTCCCCCTGCTCGACCACCCCCAGATGGCCTCGCATCTCCTCGCTATTGCAGTTTCAGCACGGCCGATGTACCTGGCCCGGACTATGCCGCCGCGGCCGGAGGTGGTGGAGGCCTTTAGAGAGTGGGACAGCTGTCTGGAGGATTGCTTTGAGCAGCTTTTCCCCCCTGGCACTTGGGAGCAGGATCCCGGCAGGTCTAGGCGCGCACGCATGCAGCTGCATCTCCCTGTGCGCCTCGGAGGGTTTGGGATCCGGGCGGCGGCCTCTTTGAGTCCGCTCTCCTATGTTTGTGGGTGGGCGCAGGCCGCACGGGATATTGCACATTTGGGGGTGGCGGGCGAGGAGGCGATGTTCGCAGAGTACCTCACCACTTCGGCGGGGGCGGAGCTTCTTGACCCGTGGTTTGCCAAGGCCATTGAGCAGTTGCCCGCGACTATACGCCAGGAGCTGCCGGACTTACCCCTGTGTGTGGCGGCCCCTCCTCTTCGGCTTTTCCAGGCGCGGCAGCGGCAGTTGGCTGTTGAGGAGCTCCAGGCACTCCGCCGCTTGGCTCGTGACGATGCCACCCTAGCCCGTTTCACATCCCTTCAGGGCCCGGGGGCTGGTGCATGGGTTTCGGCAGTTCCGGCTCATTCAGATCTCACATTCACTGCAGCGGAGTGGGGCATTGCTGCTGCTATACGGCTTGGTCTCCCAATCCAGCAGCTGCAAGTGGCGGGGAAGTGTGTTTGTGGCGCAGCGTATGATGACCCAGCAGACCCGCATCATGCGCTGAGATGCAAGCACCAACACGGTCCATCTCGGGTGCATGATGAGGTGAAGTTTGCGGTGGCAAAGATCGCTAAGGCGTCAGGGGGGGTGGTGACGATGGAGGATAGTGCGGTGCTGCCGGGGAAGCGGGTTGACGTAGCGGTGCGACGACCAATGGCTGGGGAGGCTCATGCTTTAGAGATTAGTGTCGCGGACCCGCTATCACTGTCTCCATCTCTGCTAGGGCAGTGCGGGCGGTCTATAGGCGTGGCGGCAAAGGAGTGGGAGCGTCGCAAAACGGGGGATTACGCGCCTCTTCTTGCACGGAACCGAGGCGTGCAGTTCACCCCTTTGATAGTGGAGACGTGGGGGTGTCTCGGCGGTCGCTTCCGGCGGTGGCTTCGACAGCAGGGGGACGCGCACGTGGGGCTAGCTGTGTCACGGGGGGCTTGTCGGGAGGATGACACTTCGTTCTCGGCTTACCTTTTGGGGTCTCTGAAGGCGCTCATCGGAGTGGCGTTACAACGGGCGCAAGCTCGTGTCATCCTGCTTCGGGCGGCGTCTTCCATGGGGGGGTTGAATGTGGACTTGGTGGATCGGGAGAGGGACGATGTCGAGGTGGAGGGCGGGCCTCTTTGGGTGGAGGCCCCCTACATGGTGGATGTGCAGATGTGACTTGGGGGGGGGGGGGGGGGGGGGGGGGGGTGGGGGCGAGGGGGAATGGGGTGCGAGATGGGACGTCTGGTAGGGGATCCTGGTTGGGTTTTTTCTTTATAGAGTATTTTTATGGGGCTTTTTATGGGTGTTGCGTTTGAGTTGTTTCTGGTGTCTTTCTTTCCCGTTCCTCTCCTCTTGTGCGATGCTTTTCTTTGCCGAATGACAAACCATGCAGAGACAAAAAAAAAAAAAAAAAAAAAAAAAAAAAAACAAATTCAGATTGATTTCCCCGTTGGGGGTATCGCCCAAGCCATCCAACATGGGCTGCCCAACTATCGCCCAAGCCATGCAAATCCCAAGGCGTGATATCTTCAGCCATGGAGATGTGTGCTTTGGCTTGGAATTCTCTTCTGGATGTGTCTTCCGGAATCCCCGTTGATCTCCATAGTATTCCAGAATCAAGAATTCTCTACACCAAGTTTTGTGAGCATTTGCGTTCTGTAATTGGAATTTCAAATGTTTGTGACGAAATTGAAACTTGACTTCGTGAAGTTCTGGAAACTGGCTTCATGCTTTTCCTGGGGGGGCACAGCAGCCGTTCATGATTGATGCCATCTGCCTTCTGGATGCCAGAACCTTGCCATATTTCACCCGACAAACATTCATTTGGCGATTCGCTGCTCGAAGAACGACCTTAAGCCCGTTTGTCACGGCTATCTGCGATTCTCGCGTCGAATTATCTGGGCTATTTGTTTCTCAGGCGAAGAGCTTTTATCGGGAGGTCGTTGCTGCCACGCGATCCATGTAGGTACAATGGCCAGTAGGTTCATTCCAACAATTTGCTCGCACGGACGGCGTAGATTAGTCCTGCCGCTGTGCGATTCTTTGCCGCGAATTCCGCGTGGAACACCATTTCTCTGGACAGACGAGAACCTTAGGCTGCATAACGTCGCACGCTTTTCAAACGAGACAGACGCCCAGTTACGAGACACGCAACGCGTCCTTGCTGTCGATCCGGTTGAATTCATGCGCGAAGGACCGTTGGGAATTCATGATTTCGATCAGGCGAGACTACAGACACATGTATTCTCATCAGCATCCGCTTCGCTGACATCACGGCCGACTGTGATGACCCGACAGCTGCTGCCTTCACTAGCACCACAACCGATAGTGACTCGACAGTTGTCGGCGTTATCTCCACAACCGACATCGCCAGTGGTCGGACCGTCATCGTCTGACGCAGCAGAAGCAACGGAAGGGGAACTGAGTGAGACTGATTTTCACCGGCTCGCAGACGAAGCCCTGCACTGGCTCCATGAGAAATTCGATGTATGCACCGAGATGCTCACATTCGTATGCCATTGCTCTGACATCTAGATGCAGACGTTTCCGTCCGTGAAGTCAGGAACCTCCGGATTTGACTTTAACAGAAATTCTGGGCTTTGAAAGATAAGGTAATGGAAGACTAACACACCATTTCATTGTTTCAGCCAAACTTCACTCTTGCGGCTGTCTGGCGGTTTTGCAGGCTCTAGGTGATGAGGTGGACATTGAAGGATTTGATGCTGACCTGTCCGTGAGTGTCTTTCCACACCCATTTTTACGCCTGGGAGTCCACCCACAAGTACTTCGACTAGCAGGATGCTATTCTCTTTCCCTACATTTTACTGTGTAGTAGCACCCTGCCACATGAAGTTCACAGTATCTCTGGGTCCTTTTCCATGCAGAAAAGCGTTTCTTATTGAGAACAAACCTGCACCGCTTTCCTGATTTGTTGTTCGTGTTCTTTTTACACAGCAAGGAGTTCTGACTCTTCGTCTTGGACAACACGGAATCTTTGTCATCAACAAGCAAGCCCCGAACAGGCAGATATGGCTTTCATCCCCACAAAGGTATTTCTCTGGTAATCATGTAATATCCCTCTTGATTAGTAGACCATACCTCCACCGTCACAGGTTTATTGTGGGCTGTCTTGACTACAGCTGTGTGTTTTCCTCCTGTTCTTCCCTGCAGTGGTCCAGCACGCTTTGATTGGTTACCAGGCGAAGGTTGGGTGTACCGTCGCACAGGAACAGAGCTCATGTCTCTCTTGCAGGCGGAGTTAAGCGCATGCTTAGGCGCTGGAGTTGTGCCCTCCCTCACGCTGAGCCATCCCATGTAGCATGCATGCATGCGTAATGCATTTCTTCTGGGGCTGTAAGCCCCAAATATCTCAATGATGGGGTTGCTCATACTTACCAAGAGAATCATCATCAAGTTTTGAGTGGGGGAGAGGAAGGCTGAGGACGCACCTTAAGCTCCAGCTAGAAATGCAGGCAGAGAGCTGTGAAGCTTGGACTGGCACTGTGAGTTTAAATTTGCCATTGAGAGTAGCGACAAGGATGGATAAGGGTGATGAAGGGGCTTGTAAGTGGAGGTATTCTTATGGATACAGAAAACAGGGAGCAATTGGGTATACATGAAAGCCGGCTTGCAGGGGAGGGCTGCTTCCAATTCCTCTGTTCCTGTGCCTTCTTTCCCGTTTTTTTCCCACACCTCTTACTCCTTTCTTTGCCGTTCCTGGATTCGCTGTACCCTTCCATCAAACCTCTCCCTTTGCTTTTCCACACTCCCTACATATCCACCTCCCTCTGTCCTTCCCCTCCGCCGGCGCCCACCCCCTACCCCTTCGTCATTTCCCTCCTCCACTTCACTCTGCAAGTCCCCTCTTTCCTGCTTTGCGTTTCTCTCCATTTTCTCTTCCCACCCCTTCCATCTTCCTCCCTCCTCTTCTGTTTGCCGCTCCATCCTTCCATCCCTCCCTGTCCCCCTGGCCCCAGCTCCTTTTCTTCTGTTTTCCCTCCTTTTCAATGTGCATCTTGCCCCCCACTGCCTTCTTCCGCCCACCACCACACTCTGTCTTCCACCGTTCCCTTTGTTCAGCACATTCCCTTCCTCCCCACCTTGTTTCCCCCATGCCCCCTCTTCCGTCCCCGCCACACTCTTTCACGTTTCTTCCTTGGCTATCCTTCACCCTGCCCTTCCCCCCACCCTCTCTTCATTCCCCTTTTCCTTTATTCGTGCCAATCTTCTCCCTTCGTAGTTGCCCCATTCCTTTCACCCACCACCTATTGTTTCCACCTCTTATTCCCTCCCAGCCTTCCATATTTCGCTTGTCTCGTTTCTCCCCTTCCTCCGTTATTCCTCCCCCCCCCCCCATTCGCTTCTTCCTGCATTTCAACCCCTCACATCCTTGTAAATTGCTCCCTAGGTGCCCTTTCAACCCAAGTCTCCCTCACCCTTCCCTGACATTCCAATACTCCATGGACATGGAGGGAGTTCATGATTTAGCCACACAACAGATTGCTATGCAAGGGTGCATGAGTAGGGAGAAATTGCACATGAAATCAGGGACTAGAGGATGGCATGCAGTAGGGTGCAGCATTCATGTTTGGTGGTATGATACGGTAGCACAATTGAAAACATTCTCTGCAAGATGATCAGTAGAATAAACGATTCCAAATCCATGTTAGTTGCCTAGCTGTGTAGATTTGATACATTTCTACCTAGCAAGAACTCAAATGCCTGACAGGTCAACCCCACCCCCCACCTTTGATCATCCAGCAGATGTTTCAATTCCACCAAATCAGGTGGGTGGTGCAATGGGAGGACTATGCAACCACTAAGCTCAACTAGAAAACATAATACAGGATGCAAATCATCATCTAGCTCTCTTTGCACAAGACGGGCATTTGTAGTCCTTGATATGCTCTGCCTTGGCTGGTGTGATTTTCACGCACTTCCCATGGTACCTGCAAAGACAGACTCCCGTATAATGTTGAAGGTGCACTTTTAAAAGGCGAAAGGCAGAAACGGAAACGAACCGAAAAAACCTCACCATTTATCACAATGGTCGCAACCAATCCAGAACTCGTTCGCCCCATAAAGCCCGCCACAGATGCCACAAAGCGTCTCCCCATGCTCCTCCTCGTCATCCTCCTCTTCCTCTGGAGTTTCTTGTTTCGCCTTTGATTGTTTGGTCTGCACCTCACCACTCCGCTGAAAATGTGAACGCCAACCGTCAGCAGACCACAAACAAGGCTTCGAAGCCTGGAACAACAAAATAAGGGGACATATCACTGCTATGACTGCAATGAATGAAACTTACCGCCTTGCCCGAGCTCTTCGCCTTGTTCGACCCACTGTTGTTAGCTGCTGCTTTCTCAACCGCCTGCTTCTTGCCCGTTACTATATCAAATAGTGTGGGCAAGTCATTGATAAGGTTAAACAAACGCTTCCTGCATGAGCACAACTCAAATGAAATTTAGAAGACTGTAAGGTAAATGTAGATCTTGATCGACGCGAACGACATCGTACCGCTCATTTTTATCAAATCGAGCTCCGTAGTAAAAAGCTACTGCGAGGAGCCATGCGTCACTGTGAACTGCAACCAAGGCTAGCCAATCTTTCTTCTGCATTCCATCTCTTGCAAAATTTATTCCAAGAGCGGGCTCTGGTAGTTCCGGTGGCACTTCCTCTGCTGGTAGATTGACCTCCCAAGCCTCCTCGGGGTAACCATACAAACATAGATTCTCCTTTTCTGCGGAAGGGGAAGCGAAGAATAACGACAGAACGATAAGAATGTCGAACTACCGAGCCATTTTAATGCAAATTATGTTATTTCATTTTAAAAAATCGTCTCCACAGACAAACCTGGATCACACTGTCGATAAAAATCTTCCACATCTGCACTCATACGCAGGACGACGAAATGTTATATTTTATAGGTTCGCAACGAGACGAGAAAAACAAAAGCTGAGAATATGGACTGCGTCGCGCGTACCAGTTGTCAAAGCTTTTAACATGCCCTTTCGTCGGCCACTGAAGTCCTTAAAAACATCTTCTACGGTTTTTGGATTGGCCGCCATCGTTCCCCCCCCTTCCATCAACCAGTCCTACTGAAAAGGGGATCAGCCAAGCGCGACCAACTAGGGATTTAGAGTTACAAGAGCACCCTAATTTACAACCTCTATCCTTGTCGATGAGGGGGATTGCCAGAGGGGCGCAGACATATCCCGTACTTACACAAACCCTTCCAAGTAAAAAAACACAGGAAGAGTATGAGATGCAGTTTTCACCCTGAACAGCTCTTGAACAAAAAATGGAACCACTGCGGACCCGCGTCTCGATTTGTGGAGGAAGGAGGCGTTGGAGACGGGCTCAACCACAATCCTCCGTCGCCCAATCACAAATTGCGACGACAGACGAACACTTTTGCGAAACCGTTTGTGTCACCGAATTTTGAAACGAGAAATTCCCTTTACTTATTTATTCGTTTTTTCACATAAGTTATATTTATCTACATGGCAACTCTCTAAGCATTCTGGTCCAGCTAAAATAACCCTAGAGAGCCACCAACCTTTGGATCCCAACCATTCATATCCAACGGCCAATTTTGAAATGGTGAAGCTGGCGCTGCAAGGGTGGAGATGCTGATGTGGACGGATCAGAACTTCACCGGCTCGACGGCAGACTAGACGGTGGCGGGTAACAAAGGGAATTATGAGTGTCCAAACATGTGGTCTGGCCGTCAACTCCGTCCCCTTCCTTGTCGTCCCTCCCCATTCGTAGCCGAAAGGGATGACTCCTCGACCCCACTTGTGGTTGGTTTGGTTGGTTGAGGGAAGGATCAACTCCACCAAAAGAGCCAAACGGAAAATCTTCAGTCCGTTCAGTGCTGCATTATATGTCAGAACAAATTAGCATTCTGAAAATCAGTCAAATCATCCATCCACATTCCACCCATAGTGTTGGTTCGAAGTTATCGCCTGCTCATGACTCCAGTTGTTTTCGACAGCGGAAGAGTCTCTCTGGTGTAGCTCGATTTTGTATAGAGCCTTCCGTCGATCTACATCTTGGAATGGAAGTCGTAAAAGATGAGGGTAGCGCAAAAACAATGCCAGGTAGCGGAGAGTTGGGTTCAGCAGAGCAGCAGATAAAGGAGCAATCCGACGGAGCAGGGGTTTCAGGAGAGCCTCAATTAGAGGATGATGCTGATATTAACCAGATTCTAGAGGAGCTCCCAAGAGCTACATCTGCTCCTCCTCAGCTGGCAGAATTGCAGGTAGGCAAGTCGTTGAGTGCTGTCGTTATGGGATATACTCGAATCTGCCATTGCATGCTTCACACTTTCTTTGTCGTGTATGTCAAACGGAGAAGTATGTTTTGACCGTCAAAGTTCACCTTCTGTGGTTACAATCGTCCTGATGCGTGTCATTGAAATTTGCAGAAAGTTTATGGCATCGCTCCGGACACAGGAGCATTCGCTGGTAGCGGCGAGGGTGATGTTGCTGTCAAACCTTTCGAAGGTAACTTTCGAAGGTTACGTCCCTGAAGGTTACGTTCCTGTTAACTAACACACCTCGTGTCTGATGTGTCCTGCTCATCAGTTCACTCTCTTTCGTTTAAGGTGCTAACTTGTAGGACTACGTTGGCGGTACTAGGCACGATTGGTGACGTGGTATTACGAACAAGGTTCACCATTGGAGAGGATAGTATGATTCTTCACGCGCTCATTGACACCACTCTCCTCCTTGGTACTTGGACGACACGCATCGTTTCCACTCTCCTGTCCTGGCAGACATCCGAAGAGACGAAGACTACGAGGAGTTCTACAAGGTGTATTCCGGCGTGAAGAAACTCCCACCTCCCGTGGAGAATCTCCAGCTTTACACCGATTCGCCTCGGGTCGCTGCAAGAGAAGGCGAGATAGGCTCCGACGGTGGTTTCTTCGGCAGTTTGGCACTAGACGACAGCAAGCTGCGGGAGAGCATGGAAGAGATGAGGAGACAGGACGCGGAGAGGGTACAGAAAGAGGGCGGGAGCGCCAATGGAGGGGCTACGCCTGGTAGCGGTGGGGACGGGACGGACGGTGCGGACGAGGAGGCCTTTCTGGAGGAGATGCAGCGGCAGGTGGCTCAGCAGCAGGCGCTGCAAGAACGGGAACTGTCACGGAAAGCACTGGCTGATAAGAGACCGGGTCAAGACGCCTCTGGAGCTAATGGTCTGGCAGCGGCTTTTCAGGGGCTCGGTGTAGGAGGATCTACACCCGTTGTTAGAGATGCGAGTGCCAGTAACGGAGCTGCTGATAGCGGATCAGGACAAGGCAAGGCAGGGTCCCAG